CGGCGTGGCCGGCTGCGCGGTGGAGCGCGCCTCGCCGCGGCGGCGGGGGCCGTGGGCGGCGTGGGCGGCGGCTGGGGTCCGGCTTCGGGCTGCTGGCGGCTGCGGTGGTTCCTCTCCGTCGTGGGCGTGCGGCGGTGGTGCGGCTCGGCCGGTGGCGGTCCGGCGACCTGGTGATGGTGGCCGGCGGTGCGCGTGGTGGTGGTGCCTCCCTTGGCGGCTTTCGATGTGGGGAGGAAGGGGAGCGGCTTGGACAGGGGCGGCGGAGCCGATGGCGTGCCGGCTGCAGCGCGAAGGCGGGAACTTTACGGGCCTGCGTTCCTGGCCAGGCCTGTGCGGCCACGGGCCTGGTGTGTTCCTGCCATTGTGTCCGGTCAGCTACCGTCTTCGGCGGTGGAGGTGGGGCCCTCCCGCGTGCCGACGGTGCTGCTGCCTTGTCCCGGCTCCTCTTCTTCATCGTGCCGACCATGCTTCACGGTGCCGTGGTGAGACAGCGTTGAACGCTTCGTGTCCGGGTGGCGCAGGATGAGGGTCTGTTTGGCAGCGAGCTTCGGAGTGCCTGAGTTGGAGGTTGGGATCGGGAGAAATCTCTGTTGGCTTGGCCGACATCGATGTGGTGGCGCTTATGGGTGCCGCCAGACCTTCCTGGAGGGCGTCGGAGCTATCCTTCCTCTCTCCTCACCGTGTACCGGGGGAAACCCTTGGCAGCAGCGTCGTCTTCGTCGCGTCCCTTCTTGGAGGTGTTGATTGTTACCGGTGCTTCGGAGGCTCGGAGTCTGGTGGGAGATCTCCGGTGGGTGCAGCGGCCACGAGGCTTCTTCGTTTCTTTGTCGATCCGCCGTTGTCGGCGTTTGTTTCTCTTGTATTTTCTCTTTCTTTTCTTTTGGGCGTGACTGTGCTGCTTCCGCCCCAGCACCTATCGTTGGATGTTTCGGTTGATTGCTTTGTATACAAAGCGGGGGGAAACCCTTTTTCGGATGATGCTATTAACTGGAGCTCGTAGCCACTCTATGTGCATAGTGAACAAGCCGACTGGGCTTGTTGGATCTTCCATGGTCGTTTTAGGAGGAGAATAATGTTTCAAGATTGATTTTTTCTAAATTTTGTGTGTGGATCGTCCTTGATTGCTTTGAGATTCTTGCTATTCTTTTTATTGTTGTCAAAATTTATTATGTTCATAATGTTTTGTTTGTTTTTCCTTTTTCTTATTTCAGTGTGTACATCATGTTTCCATTGCTTATATTGATAAAAAAGAATGTACTTCAGATTAGTTTTGACGATACACGATGAAACATTATGATTCACTTTGGAATGAGAGAAAAACCTGATGTAACACTTTGAAACATGACAAATTTTGACAGCAACAACAAAAAAAGTACTAGCATGAATTCATACTCCATTCGGTCCTTTTTAGTCTGCATATAAGTTTTGTCCGAAGTCCAAGTATCTCTACTTTGACCATTCACAATGTCAACTCAATATTGTTAAATTCATTATGAAATTTAGTTTCATGAAATATATTTTTTTGTATTGTCGATATTGATATTTTTTGATATATATTTCGTCAAACTTTGCAAAGTTTGACTCGACACAAATCTAATACACAGGGTAAAAAGGACGAGGTAGTAACCATGAACAGTAGATTAGAATCTCATTTCTCGTAATGGTTTATATATTTTGCAGATGCATGCGCTCGCAAGCAAACATGTCAACTAGTAATGCTTATCAGATATACAGAGAGCCGGAGGACTTGGCGCAGTCTGCTGCGGCGAAGGTCACGGTGCCCTTGTCGAGGTCATAGCCGACGTGCATGTTCTGCTGCGCGAATTCCCGATGATGGACACAGGATGAAACTGGTCAGACGGCGCCGCCACCGCCAAGCACAGAGTCCCCTCCTGCACCTCCAGGAACGTGTTCTCCGCCTTCAGCGTGACCGTCGCGCCGCCGCCCAGCCCCAGCGTCACGTCAGGGATCATCGCCGCCACGTGTCCCTTTCGTACCCCGCTCACGTCGAAGCACAGTGGCAGGAGATCTTCCGGCGACTTCGCCGGCGGGAGCTTGACCCTCCGGGTCAGCTCTTCCACCAATGGGTCCACAAGCTCGTTCGCGAGGTACGTCAGCGTCGTGCCGGAGTCGACGATGACGGGGGACTGCTGCGGCGCCGCGAGGGTCTTGTTGCCGATCTTGACGGACTGGAGATCGACGGTGTAGTAGGCCTTCACTTCAGATGGGATCAGCGGCGTCGTCGCCGCGCCCGGCTCCGTCACGGTGGCGCGGGGGCCGAAGTTGAGCACGGAGGAGGCGTTGATGGAGTAGGGCACGAGGCAGTAGGAGAACCTCCGGCCAAGCGATGTGTCTGCGCCTAACTGATTGACGAGGGAGAGGTCGCCGCCGCCGAGCCCGACGAGGCCGTCCCCGATGAACGAGCCGGTCATGGTCGTGGAGCAGCCGAAGTTGACGTTGGCCACGCGCATCTCCCGATCGCCGCGGGTGCCTTGGTCGTCGGCGAAGGTGAAGGTCTCCGTGGAGAGGAGGCCGCTCGTCTGGGAGCCGTCGCCGTAGGAGTAGAGATACCTGCACTTGGAGTCGGGACAGGAGGCATCGGGGAGCGCGCGGCATGCGCCGGTGCCGCAGCTCATGAGACCGAACGTCGTCGAACTGGAGGAGTTGAACTGGACGCCCGGCGGCGGCGCGGACGCGGGCGCGGAGGCGGGCGCGTGCGCGTGACGGGCGGCCGCCAGAACAGGAGCGCCGGCTCCGTTGCTGCAGTTGAGCCAGATGAGGTCGCTGCCGGTGTCGGCGATGGCGAGCATGCGGGTGGGCGGCGTGCCCACGTTCACGGCCATCAGGTACTCGAACGGCCTGGAGGTGAGCTCGGAGACGGCTCCGTCGGCTGATGGTGCGTCGGCGCGGGCGTAGGAGCGCGAGAGCGCAGCGGCGCGCGATGAAGACCGGCGCGCGGCCTCGAGCACGCGAGCGTGCGTAGTGAGCGACGGGTCATGGTACGGCGACTTGACGGAGTCACGGTGGATGAACTCCACGCTAAACCCATCGCCGCCGACGTACGCCGTGCACAAGAACATGTGCGCCGTCAGGACGACGCCAACGAGCAGGAGAGTGCGGGATGCCGTCGTCCCAAGCATTGTGTGCTACTGCTAACTCAACTGCGGGGTTGCTTGCCAATGGTGTGTTACGTTGCTGCTGCTATGCAGAGTATTAATAGGGGAATTGGCGTACGATTAAAATGGTAAGTTGATTAATGGGGAGACGAATGGGGCAAGTCGGTATATGGTATGACCTGTGATTGCGCCATCAGCCAGCTTCTTGCATTATGCGTTCAAATCACGTACGTGATGCACTACGCATGGAATCCCACGCACTTCTTGGGCAATATTTTGTACCACCCCCAGATTTCAGCTGTTTTAACATTCTTTTTTTTTTGGGGGTGAAGCTGTTTTAACATTCAAAATGGCAATATTTTATATAAGATTAATTAACATTCAAAATGGCAATGTTTTGGAACAGATTGTACGGTTCAATTGTTTTCACTTCACGACGCCAACACAAACCGGAACTTGGTCGCCCTTGCATCCAGATGCAACCTTGTTCTCAAACATGAGCAGCGTCATGTCTCTATTTCCCATACATCAGCTCAATCCGGTGGTATTTTCACTTGGTAGATGGGTCTATACTCTCTCCACCTCGAAGACCTTCCTGCGAACGTGATGGTGAGCTTGATACTCGCTTTGTTTGTGCCTGTGCACAATCCAATATTAGCATATGCTTGTTATTTGAAAAATTCACAATACTTGACTACCCAAATTTTTCTTCTGCAACATGAAACGTACGTAAACTTTAGTAGAAGATTGCATTTTAAATTCTTCAGGTAAAACAGTAGTACGATCCTTACTTTCACGTAAGCTAGCGAACCTCGTGAAACCAAACAAGAATTGTTTTTTTCTTCACTTGGAAGTATCCAACTTCACACAACAAGGCCAAACCTCGACACCGCAAAATTTCTCTAGTGACTTTTCTTGACCATCTTTTTGTGTGAATAAACTCTTGTATTACTCCAAACACTCAATTTTTAATCAACTTCAAAGACTTCTAAAGCGCAGAGAGGGCCTGATCCAAGCCAAACAACAGTTCAGCATTGGGATCTCTCAAAGTTTGTCATAAAATGACTAGACTTATTTTGGCTACGGCGAATATGAGTAATACAAGAATCACATTCATCCATGCTTCCCTTGATTTCCTTGACCAAAAAAGCATACTTCATATTGTTGCCTTCTCTACTCTTGATCGTCACGACTTTATCAAGGCACCTTCAACATCAAATGGTAGGGAACACCATTGAAGTGCCAAAGATAAACCTGCATGGAGTGCAAGAAGCTCAAATTCCAGGGCATCATTGCATGAAAAGATTTGCCAGCACACACTGAGAACAATTGCACCTTCATGATCTCTAAGCACCATACCAGCCCCTGCTGCACCATTTAGGAAGGAGCCATGCACATTAAGCTTGTTACGTCCATACATAGGTCGATACCACAACACATTGGCTGGTTGACATCTATTGTCACATGCATGATAGACATGTGGGAAACACAAAGTGATAAATAGTTTTCCTTTAGTTGGACCAAACTTTGGATCCATGCTGATGGAACATAGTTTATAAAGGTACTTGCACAAAAATCTATT